AAAATGAAAGGTGTCAGATCAGGTTTTAACATTTACAGAACTTCAGTCAGCTTTGGTTACTTTGAACATGCCGTGTAATTAAACTAATTTGATTAAATGTATGTTTCTGTTCTACAGGATGTCCCATCAGTGTTGCTCTTCTACACCTAGAACACCAACGCTCTTCCCTCATCATTAATACACAGACATTTCCTGTGTGTTGATGATAATCAGTGACTATTCAAGTCAAACAGAAAGACTTTGGTCCTTCCTTAAAACATTTCTGAGTAGCCTGTGTTTGTAGTTGTGACCCAAGTAACTGCAGATAAATTATATAGTATTCCTTTCCTGCAAAACCCACCAAACCACACTCACATTGAGGCCTCACCAGAACCATTTACCAAACCACAGTGACACATCTTTTTCAGCGAGCAGCAGCCAGCAGTGATTTATACTTATCTCAAGGTGCTGAAACAGCTCACAAAGCCCCATGAAGTCATTTCACCTCCATTTTTCACTCGTCCATCTCACATGCTGCATCCTACTCACACCGAAAGCCAGAAAAACCCAGACACCCAAAGCATATTTTTACACTCCGTGTCCTGTTTTAAGCGTGTAACTGCAGTGACTGGGCCTCTCCTATGTAGACATAACAGAAATCTCTTTCTCTCTGTGTTTCTGTCTCTGTTCCCATATTGTTATCACTCACTATCTTGTAACTGGAGGTTTATCAGCATCCCACAAGCCGTGCAAAGGCAGCAGGCGGTTGACTGTGTAGTGAAAAGTGGCTGTGTTGTGCTGGGTGTGTAGGAGCGGGAGGAAAGGAGCAGTCAGCAGTAGCAGGCAGTTAAGAAACTCATTACCTTGCAGCACATTACAGCTAAAGAGTATCACAATAATAACTTTACTCACATTGCCAGTTTAGCCGGGGTTTACTCTCGTACGTTACACCTGTGAGGCGGATCGGTGTGTGTGTGTATGTGTTTGCACATAATCTGTGCAACTGCCTCCCATATCCTCTGCTTAATACTGTCCCCATTCACTGTGCAGCGCTGATAGCATAGCTTAGCCTGCAGCCAAAGCAAACCAGACACGTAGAGCCTGTTCAGTGCAGGTATAAATGACAGGACTTCCATTAAGAGGATGGAATACTTTGCAGAATGGCTTTATTACACAGCTGGACGCTGCCGATTTCTGATATGCCTTCATTTACTACCAGCAGTTGAACTGTTTTGAATATTATTGTTGAAGTAATGTCTTTCTATTCACCTTGTTTCTCCCCTCTCTACCTCTTCATGTCTCTCCCTATAAAGCAACAGCATTGCGGCATCTGCAGTTTGTGCCTTCAACCTGAGCGCCATCACTCAGGCCTTCAACGGGCCTTTCCGCTCCCAGGAGAACCCTCGCTCCACCTGGCTCCCCACACCCAACCCCATCCACAACTTCCAGGTTGGTTTATCAGTGACACACTCTTACACCAGTGACATCAGTCAGTTCAGATGTGAAAAAAGTCTGTTGCAAAGATTTTGTACAGTAAAAATTGTACCAAAATCTGATTATTTACATTCCATACTATTTAACTTTGCACATTCCCTGCACACTGGAAACATTTCTATTGCTTCTTATAATCCCTTGAAGTGCTACATTTTGCTGCTAATTTGACTTGTAACACTTTTTTAAATCTACGTGTTAGTGTTTACTGTTGTGTGCTAAAACACCAAATCTCATTCCTCGTATGTGAAAACCTGTTTGGCAATTAAACTGATTCTAATTACGAAGTGGGAGAATTTGTAAGTGTTCCAATAACAATACTACCAGACTATACAGTTTACTGGAGAAAAAAAAAAAAGTGTATGTCTAAATATATAATGTGTCAAATGCAGTGTGTATAAAACTGCTTCTAAATCTGTTAAGAACAAGTTCTCGAGTACATTTTTAAAGTAACACAAAATTACACAGTTGTCTCTGAAAGCCTTCTATTCTCTACACGACCCTCTCTACACAGTCTTGTCCTTGTAATCTTGTCATCACCCAAAAAAAAAAACTAATCAGTGCTATATAGCAGACTTTTCCTGTGAATCCTCCACAAAAAAGCTTCTGTTAAACTGCAAAGATGTCTGCAGTCTACTGCACAAACATGATCCAACTTCGAACAAAGCGCAATAAAATCATCCTTTGTTCCAGCAAATATATTTTCTTGTAACAGCAGGACTGCAGAACTGTTCTCTCATTCAGTTCTTGCCCCCAGGCCATATCGCTCTGATAAAAAAAAAAAAACTCTCTAAATGATATTTTTTGTTTTGCAAAGCTGTACCTTAGTCTTGCATGTTAAACCACTGGGTGTCTAGAGCTTGCTGGTGGTGGTACATGGTGCTTGTTTTTTTTTTTTTTAACTTCATGGCTAAATAATTACACAGGTTAGAGACTAAACGCAGGAACTTAATACATATTCTGATTATTATGAAACAGCATATTAATAGTCACAAATCACAGTGTGGTGCAGAGAATAGTGGCCCACAAGAGGAAACAAACTGAAAAAAAGTAATAAACTGAGATATATAGATATCATATACCCTCTGAAATGCAAAAAGTCATTGCTGTACCTCCAAAAGCATCTACAGCTGCAATCTCCCCAAAATGGAATCACCAATGGAAAATGGAAAATCTATCTTTCAGCTCAAGTCCCAAAGACTGAGCAGAAGCTGCAATCCACAGCGAAGGTCTTCAACTCAAACAAAGCTTTTCAGAAGGCTGTCATTTTATATTTCTTCTGCTGGAGTGTCTCATTAAGCTGCTGTTCTGTTACTGCGGTCACAATGACTGTGTAGTTATGCTCCTGTGAAAAAGTTGCGATTACTGACAATAGAATTAAGAACTGAAACAATCTCGCCAGACACGGTGTATTGATTTAGCAAGTACAAAGACGGGCGCGTGAGGCCCATCTCCATTGTTTGGTCTTTTTCTTGCTTTTCTCCTCGTCTTCCTAGAAACATAACATAGATGGGTAATCTATGTTTTCTCTCCTTTGCTCTGCAGTGTGGCACCATCGATGACGAGGGTCCCAACGAGGGTCTGACGGAGCGCAGCCTGCAGGACGCTCAGCGCCTTTACCTGATGAACGATGTGGTTCAGCCGGAGTCTGTCGATCCGCTGGTCATGCAGGATGACGTTCGTTTCTCAAACCTAGTGGTGGACATTGTTCAGGGCATGGACACCCTCTACCACGTTATCTACATCAGCACAGGTTAGCACTCTTCCTTTAGCATTACCAGACAACATCAACCTTAAGATGAAGCAGAAGAGTGCATTTTAGCTTCCCTTATATTTCTTCTTATCCTTCTTTGTGAACCAGAATATGGCACCATCCTGAAAGCACTGGCGACGCCCAACAAGAACCTGCAAGGTTGTTACCTGGAGGAGATGGAGCTCCTCCCATCAGGTGTACGAGAACCAATCCTGAGCTTGCAGATCCTGCACAGCGACAGGTCGCTCTTCGTTGGGCTTCACAACAGAGTCCTGAAGATCCCACTGGAGAGGTGCTCCACCTACAAAACTGAGACGTGAGTACAGTGAAAAAATGGACCCAGGATGATCATGCTTATGTAAATATTACACTACAATGTTGACAAAAACACAACATTCCCCCACACCACTGACGCGAATGGGGATTTTTAAATCTTTTTTGGTTTTTCACCTTGTTAACATGTTCATATGGTGTTTTTTCATATGTGCAAGAGGACATATTATGAGCAAAACAAGCAGTTAACACCATGGCTGAGCGTTTACGCCTTGAAACTACAGTTTTCTGATGACAGTCTCAGAAAACTGATTCAGAGAGCCAGAGTTTCTTCTGTCACAAACCCAACGAGCCAATCCAGACAGTCCCACTGTACAGGCTGGCTTTTTGTCTCAATGTTCTGCTTCCAGTTCAAACATGTATGACTGAATCACTCCATTATTACCTGCTGTCATGTAGTTTCAAAGTGATTGAGCAGAGGTGTAGATGAGCTGATGTGCTTGAGCTGCAATTACTGGACACAGAGGCTTCACAGATCAGCATATTCCAGAGGAAGCAACACTGTAGAGCTGCATCTAAGTCATTTAAGGCAAGAGGAGATTATTTTCACATGAATAAAATGCTAAATATGTAACTTTGATATTGGACTGGAATGGGACTCATCACTGTATGTTGTGGATTCAACCTATGTTAAATAACCTCCAATTTTATTGTTGTTCAACCACTCCCGTGCTGCTCAGCATCAGTATGTTCACTGCTGGAAGGTATATTACAGGGTTTTTTTCTCAAGTATTATTGCGGTTTGGCTTCTGCCCACCAGCAGCAGCACTCAGCACCTTTGATAAGTAAACACCTCGTCGTGGATCTAGTGAAGGCCAGTATCTGCTGAACAAGGTGAATATGGCAGGGCCTTAGTTGCACTTTAGATCTCCAACTACAAATCAAATAGGTGATTAATTGTCAGCTATTACATGAATTGGCAACTATTTTAATCACTGATTAATTGTTTTGAGTAATTCTTATGAGAAGAAAAGCAGAAATTCTTGGATTCTGGCTTCTCAACTTTGAATGTTTCTGGTTTCTTTACTCCTCTATGACAGTAAACTGAACATCTTTGGGTTGTGAATAAAACAAGACATTTGTTATCTTAGGCTGTGGAAAACACTGAGGTTTTTTTAGGATTTTCTGACACTTTATAGCTTAAACCACTCATCAATTAATCAAAAGATAATTTACCAATTAATAAACAATAAAAATAATCCTTTGTTGCAGCCCTACTGCACATCGTTCCTCCTCTTATTCTATTTCACCTCTGCGCTGTGTGCTCTGATTGTCGTGAGACTTCCGAAAGTCCCACGACAAGAATTAAACAATGAAGCACGTGAGAGATAGCAGCCCTCACTCTGTGAAAGCAGCCATGCATTAAACACAGTGTGCATTTTATTGTTCGTGTAATGCCTTTTGGCAGTGGGTTCATTCTAACCTGGTTGGACCTCTATTGAAGGCAATTATCTGTCCTCAACTAGGATTAATGTCGGGAAGACCTCGCCTATAATAATTAAAGTCCTTATGGAGGCAGACGAATGATGGGAGCAGTATCTGCTCGCCAGAGGAAATTAGTTTGTTGTGCTTTTGCAGTAATGAAGTTCTGAATAATACAGAGAGAGCTCTGTTCTGGCTTTTGTTTGTTTCGGAATCCGACGATAAACAAAAAGTGTGTGTGAAGCTACAACAGCCAGAGAAGTTTCTCTACAGGCGTGTTCTTGTGTGAAAGAGATACAAAGACACAAAGAGAGGCAGAGAGACAGAAGGCTTTTGCTCTCCAGCTCCAGTGTCATTCATGTGAAAATGTCTGTCTTGAGGCAGGGGGAAAGCTCGCTGGCTGTTTGTCCAACCTCTCTGTATCTCATCAGCACTCCTCAATCAGGATCCTCTGCTGGCCACCTCGGTTCTTCAAAGTCAACTTCATTTTAGCATACAAATGGCTCGTTGCTTTTTCCGCTGTATATGTGTGTGCGAGTGTGTGTGTGTGTGTGTGTGCAGAGGACAGTCGACTTGGTGTGATTTGTGTGGGTTGGTGCTTGGACGAGCTCTCATATGCGTGCTGCATGATGAGTCAGCTCGCTGTTTCCACTAAATCCAAAACTCCCAGACAACACAGGAGCAGACACATGAGAGTCAGACACAGAGAGGAAGCACAAGGAGAGAGAAAAGCCAAGAGAAATATAGATGGAAAGAAAATCAGAGCCTACTTAAGACGCAGTGGGGTGAAACGAGTGGGCTCCAAGGGCACCTGAAGGGGAGGAAGAAGGGAAGGAGGGGAGAGGGGGGGCGAGGTAGGATGGGCCACCTTTAATCTAGTTTGCAATATTCTGCTCACCTCTGCAGCTCGCTCACAATCTTTCACATGCAGCCGAAGGCGCACCGAGCTGCAGGATACAAGAGGTGTCAACCTGTCGAGCTCGCTGGGTCGGACTCAAGCAGGTAGAAAAAGGCAGGTGGCTCACGTTGAGTCAAGAGAAAATAAACGGCCAGGTAGGGAGTTAATGCATGTGAATATGAGAGCAGCTAATATTCTCATTAACAGAAATCTGGTAATTAGACAAATGTGCCTGCTGTAGTTTTCCTAGAGCCTAAATGTGTGCAAAACTCAACAGTAAAGCACCAAATCTTCACATGTAACAGCCTGATGAGTGCATTTTTAACAGGTGGCTACTTACACACATTCTTACATCAGATGTTAGAGATGATTTTTTTCACCTCTAACACAGACGTTTTTCGTTGAACAAAGCTGAGACGCCAACTTGTGTTCCAGCACTTTGTTAATCTCTTTATTAACCACCTCCAGCCCTGACACACAAGTGTATTATGAGGCTTTTCTTTAGTGTATTGTCATCAGCGAAGAATGAGCGCTAAGGCAGTGGAAGGAGATTCAAAAGGAAGACTCTCCCATAAGAGTGACAGCAGACATTGTTGCTCCTGTACTGTCCTGCTTAAGCGGCGCAGATTAGCATTCGCCGCTGAATTGAAGAACTTCTTTGAGGCTAAACTAGATTAAATTTGCAACACATCATGTCCCTGACATATACTGTGGAGAACTTAACTAAGCAGGTTACAAAGCTGGAAAGCAGTTGTTTCAACATGAGTACAGTGCACAGCTGAAATCTATAAACGGGTGACAAATAAAGGGAAAATGTGACCTCTACAGTGAAGGATTTGGTCCCTCTGTTATGCTGTGGGGGGTGTTTTGATGGCATGGTTTGGGTCTGTTTTATTTCACCTTAGTGTAAAATCAATACAAAGTTGTTTAGTCTATCCCGATGGGAGTTGTCACCACCAGGATGACAATGGCTCTATCATATGTAGTGACCTATAGGAAACCTGTAGGAGATTTTTGACCAATGAACATTCTATAAAACCATCATCAAAACACCAAATATCGTCTGTAACATTGGTATTCTATTGCTCCAACAGAGCTGCAGAGACTTAAAAAAACAATACTAAGGCAGTCCAACACCTTATTAAGACACTTTATGCTGGTTTATCCGTCTGTAGTTGGTGATCTGAAGGCAGACAAATGGACACAGTTGAGAAGTTTCTGGACTACTGACCTACTAGAGTCTGTTGAGGAGGCTGACTTTGAACCAGTAGACTTCACTGCAGCTGGTCCCAGTCAAAGATCACACATCGGTACTGGTGATTTGGGAAACTTGCAAACCAGGGAAACAGCACTGCAGCCACCCTGCGTGCACAAATGGAGATTGCAATACAAATGTTTCAAGCAAAAACTATTTCAAATTTGATGCTTTTTTTTTTTTTTTTATGAACAGTCTTGCAAACATCACTAAAACCCTCCATGCGATCCTGGAGGTGTTACAGAAAAAGCACCACATTACTCCCAAAACTGACTGGAGCAGAGGGCAGCTCTACTCCTGCTCTAACTATTTTGTCTTTCTTTCTTTCTGAGCCATCTTCTGTTCATCTCTCCAGGGCACCCACCGCTCAGAAAAAAGACCCACCTGCCATTTTACTCTTTTCTATTCTGAACAAATGCCTCATCATTGTCCTGCTGTCTGAATGAGCCGGAAAGAATTTCCATTCAACTTTTTCTGCGTTGTGCGCAGTCATCCCGTACACTCAACCGTATATTCATTCACGCACAGCTGATCATTCTCACATGTCTGATCAGCAGCCACACATGCTGCTTTTCACCGTCATGCGCACCGACGGTGAGGTACGGCAGCGTTTTTCGGTGCTGCGGTGGGCGTCGCAGTGATAGAATGAAGGTCAGACGTGATTTATACACAAACAGTAATTATCCGCTTTGTTAGAAAACATCCTGCTGGTAATTGAATAATAGATGGACTGTGGCTGTACAGCTGCAGTGATCCTTCATGTATGTAAGTGTACACGGCTGCAGTTAGTTAGACATGGTGTTAAAAAAAAAAAAAAAAAACGCTGACTCCTACAGCTTACAGCAAAAACAAATGCTGGTTGGAATGCCTGTACAGTTGTTGCCGTCTGAAAACTCAATTACGTTTAAGTGCCTTTAATGTTTAGTTTTCCTTTGTTATCGATCCAGATTGGCGGCTGGGGCGAGCTCTGCAGCCCTGAGAGTAGAATAACATTTGCATCATCATCTTTAACTCAAGTGCTTTTTTTTTTTTTTTGGTTACACTGCTAAACCTTTTTAACTGCCAGTGATTTGTATCCTTTTAGTGATCGCTTGCAGACAAACGCTGCAGCTTGTGTTCTGCTGTGTGTGCGTGTGAGTGTGTACATGTCTGTGTGTGTTTGTCCTCTATTTGGTGTAATTATATTTGACCTGGTCAATTGGCACCTCTGGCTAACAGCACCACTCTGTCCTCCACACAGCCCCTATCTCTCTATCTCACTCTGTTAGCGAAGTGATTTATTTTGGCTGCAGCGGGCGGCGTGCTTGCTTAGCTGCAATGTTGCATCCATCAGGTCTTTTTTTTTTTTTTTTCTTGCCTTCACTGAGGGATGAAATGTAGTCCACACTGCCAAATAGAGTATGAAGCT